TGAGAAAACGTTTGAAAATTCCTCAATATAATCGCCTCGATCTCTTTTTCTCCCCGCGCCGCAATCGGCAATTCAACACACCATCGAAGAAAAAGATCTCGAAGCGGAAGACAAAAGTCCACGCAATGTCTCCTTATCTGCTTCGCATCTGGTATAGATGTCCACGAGGATAGATCGTCGCGAATAGGTTAAACAAGGGGAAAATCACTTTTTGTGATTTTTACTCAAATTTTGATTTTTTTTAATTATTTTCCTGAATATTTGAAAAAAAATTTTGATTTTTTTTATAATCAAAAAATATTAAAAATTAAAAAAAACATAAATAATTATTTTTGATTTTTTTCCAAATTTTGATCATTTCATACCAAAATTTGGATTGTTTTCTGATTATTTGTTTTTCAAATTCGAATTTTTTATTATTTTATACAAAATTCGGTTTATTTTTCAATTATTTTCTGAATATTTATTATTAAAATTTGACTATTTTATACAAATTCTGATTATTTCTTGATTATTTGTTTTTTTTTAACTTCAAATTATTTTTGATTTCTATTCAAATTTTGATTAATTCATACCAAAATTTGGATTATTTTTTTATTATTATTTTCTAAATATTTATCACAAATTTTGAAAATAAATTGAATAATTGTAAAAATCTTTTTTTATTTCATGTAGAATTTGAATATTTTTCTATTTTACTTTGGAAAATACTTTTTTTCTTTTATTATTATTTTATTCAAAATTTTGATTATTTTGCAATTTTTGATTTGAAAAACAATAATTTTTTTTTGATAATTTTACTCAAAATTTTGATTATTTTTCCAAATTTACTTGAGAAATATTCTTTTTTTTTAATATTTAATTTAATATTTGGTTATTTTGATTTTTTTTGTAATTTTATTTGTGAAAATAATAATTTTTTCAAATTATTTTCAATTTTATTTGAGAAAATATTGATTTTTAAAAATTATTTTAAACTAAATTTGATTATTTTTCAATTTTATTTGGAAAAAAAATCATTTTTTTTTTTATTATTTAACTCAAATAATTGATTATTTGATTGGAGAACATTAAGTTTCCTCAGAAGTCGCCTTGTGATTTGCCCCTTGAGGTTAAAACGACACTTTTCCCTCTGCCAAGATCTTGCGTGGTTTTCGTCGATAATCAGACCAATCTTCTCGCATTGACACACGATCCTCATCATCGTGGTGCAACTTGTGGGGGTTTTGTGCGATAATGCGACGAAAATTCTACAAGAGTTTCACGCGGATTGCAACTCCTCATCATCTCTTTAGCCTCACACTTTATGGCCATGCCAGTTAAGAGTTTGATAAGCGCTGTCAAGTCCGGGTGTCTTTCGGTTTCAAGATCACCCGAAAACGGTAAAGTTTTTTCGATAGAAGACATAAAATTGTGTTCCAGTTTTGCACGATGAGAAAAGTATATATATATATATTCAGCAATAAAATGGCTTTTAAGAATCTTTATCATTACTCAATCATCTAAAGAGCTGTCTATTTGAGCAGATCAAGTCTTAATTATTCCTCAATGAGCACAAAAAAAGACCCAAGAATCACATTATTTCTTCGAAAACCTGACAGTGGACAAATCTCTGTCGAAAAAAGATGATGTCTTTAAGTACTCTGATGAAGATTCTGAATAAAGAGAAATTTTCACTTGCATTCTCTTTAGTAATCAATAGTTTACTTTATAATATTGTAAATTCTAATTGAAAAATTTTGTCATATTGTGATTTGTTTAATGCACTCATCAATTTATTGGCTGAATCACTAGGCAACAAAAATCACACTCCCCCCCCCCCCCTTTTTTTGAAGTGTGGATTTTCTGATTCCTTGAGTCATCAGCTTTCCAACGGTATCTCACTTTTTCCCTAGACTCTCAAGTTCGTCCTTTTAGAGCCTATTTTCCCCTATTTTCACCCACTTTGCCGCACTTATGTGCTCATATTTCGCTCAATTTTCCACGGATTTCCCCCAAATTAGGCTCAAATGATAGCTATTGAAATTATCTACTACTTTGTAAAACATTGTGAGTGTTTTAGAGCACTTCTTGTTGGTCAAAAATGATCTTTTGTGAAGCACTAGGTAAAAAATTTGCCGGGTTTTTTACTTCACTTTTTTCTAAATATCGCCGAAACAAAGAAACTTTTATGTTGGATTATTTTTCTTATGTGTAAAACACTTCAGGGGATGCATTTCCCCCCCACCGTATACATGTCGAAGGGATATTACAAGATATCAAGAAAGAACAAATCACATTTTTGCTCATCACGCCATGAAAAAATAGTAAATCAATCTGAATACGTGCGAAATTCTGAGAAAAACTACCCAAATTCCGCGAAATACTCTTAGGGATTGCGGATTGCGCTTAAGATTGCACTTAGAATTGCGGTGATTGCGCCAAAACATTGCAATTTTACACTAGAGATTGCGAAGATTGCGTTCTCAGTGAACCGTGATTGCGCCACATGTTTACCCCTTGTTAATTTATCAGTTCTTCACTAAATCCAAGACGTCCAAGGGTAGATAATATAGTCAAAAAGTGATGTACGGCTCAGCAGAGATACTTAAGAAGGCGAAAGTGTTCAAAAACTTACTGACTAATCATCCAGATTTTTGATATGTCTTTTGATTTTTACAAAGAAACAATCTTTTTAGGTTATGTAACAAATCACACATCATCAGAATTTGATTATTTTTCAATTTTATTCGGGAAAATAAACATTTTTATAAATTATTTTTATCAGAATTTGATTATTTTTCAATTTTAATTGGGAAAATAAACATTTTTTTAAATAATGTTTTTAAAAACTTGATTATTTTTCAATTTTAATTGGAAAAAAATCATATTTTTTTAAATTATTTCATTCAGAATTTGATTATTTTTCAATTTTAATTGGGAAAATAAACATTTTTTAAAATTATTTTTATCAGAATTTGATTTTTTTTCCATTTTTATTTGGGAAAATAAACATCTTTTTAAATAATGTTTTTTAAAACTTGATTATTTATCAATTTTAATTGGCAAAAAATCATTTTTTAAATTATTTTATTTAAAATTTGATTATTTTTCAATTTTAATTGGCAAAATAATAATTTTTTCTTATTATTTTACTCAAATTATTGGATTTTTTAATTATGTTTCCTCAAAAATCGCCCCTTGTGACTTGTCCCTTGGAAAAATCTCCGAAGTTTCCGAAAGAGTTGTAGAAGAAAGTAAGGAAAAACACATGTTTTAAAAGCACTGGTGATGTTCTTGGAAGTGTCAGGAAGTGCGTTGTGTACACATTTTAGCCTTTACTATCTTCCCTTTGTTTGACCACAACGATGGTTATTCTTCTGGCCCAGCAAAAGTCATCGGCAGAAATGGGGGGCGGCAGAACGTTGGCAACAATTCCTCCCATTCCCAATTAATCCGGCGACTCGTTGGCAATGCAAACATCGGCCGCCGCCGGGCACGAGAGGGGGTGGAGCTGTGACCATAACTCCTCGGCAACTGCATGCGCTTTTGGGCCCCACTCGATGACATGTGGGCCTCCGCGGACATTAATTAAGCACCTCTAATCGCGAATCGCCCGGGTGGTCGATTCTCCACCTCGAAACCCAAAGCAGCCCCCCGGCGGCATTTCCAGCGCGCCGCCAACAATCACGGCCCAATTGTGGCCGGCCTCCAATGGCGCACACCTGCAATTCCGTATGGTAATGTTTCAAGGGCGGGGGGAACGAGAGCGAGAGAGAGAGAGAAAGAGAGAAATTAATAAAGCATTTCGATAAATGCAGATCTGAATCAATTTACGCGGGAAAGTGGATTTGGAGCGACTCCACAAGACACCTATCAATTTGCCCGATCTTTTGTGCTGCTCCTCTCTTTTTTTCTTGTGGTACGCCAAAGGGAAGAGATTAGACGGTGAGGAAGTGGTGTACAGAACAGCGGAAATGTTCGAGAAGATGTCTAAATATTTACAAAATTCATTTGTCGCACAGTTTTTTTTCTCAATTTTATTATTGAATTATTCAGAAATTCGTCGTTGTAACATTACAGAATTCGTATATCAGTTCCTTAAAAGCTACTAATTTGGTGTTGCAACTTTACTTTGTCATATAGTTAATATTGACGGCCGCCTGGTGGCGCTAGTGTAAAGTACGAATGAAATACGAACGAGAAGGCGTTGCAAGGCAATGCTGGGACTTTATTTAATACAAATTGACAGCTGTCACAATGACATTTGCTCTTTGATGATGTTTTTAGGGCAGAATATTCCAACTTCCGCCCAGTTTCTGGCCATTTTCCTCCTCGTGGAAGTTCGGAAATGTTCTTTAGTGGAAGTGAAACTGACTTTCAAGACAAGATATCTTCATTTGACAACTATTCGTGACATTAGGTGTGTTTTCAATGGGTTTCTTGAAGGATTCTTTGTGGCCAAATTGTCGCATTTTCGAGTTTCACTTGAAAATGCCTTAAGAAACCAAACATTTTTCCTAGAAAGGATCGAATGATGTCCGGAAAAACACATAACCTCAATTTAGAGCATTGAAATGTGCGAAAATGACCCAAAAAATACAATAAATATGTGTTTATCTACACAAAAAAAGCATAATTGCCTATTTCCTCTGGTTTTATATACAAAATTTTAGGCTTTTCTTGTCTTCACGCGATGAAAAATATGTGAATTGATAAATTCCCCACATTAGTAAATATTATCAGAATCGTAATCTTGCAACATCTTTTTTGCAAATTCATATTATTGACAGCTTATTTTGAAATGTTACAAAAGAATAGTTGCAACGAGGGATAAGAGATTTTCCACTTTAAAAGAAATCAAGAGCATGGTGTACATGTTTGAGTTGTGCCAACTTCCCCTTGACACGCCGTGCGGGCATTTGATGATCATGGGCAGAGTGAATAGATTAAACTGTGCGTGGTGAGCAATGTCGGCAGCCACTGACCAAAGATCCCTCTGTCTCTCTGACTCATTGCAGGCACGCTGCGCCCGCCAGGACTCATCGGAGGCTCCAAACCAAAGGTAGCAACGCCAGCTGTCGTCTCAAAAATCGAACAGTACAAACGGGAGAATCCCACCATCTTCGCCTGGGAAATCCGGGAGCGATTGATTTCGGAAGGTAAGAATCAAGGGGCAAATCACAAGAAGCGACTTCTGAGGAAACTCAATGTTCTCCTAATCAAATAATCAAATTATGATTTAAATAATAAAAAAAAAAGATTATTTTCCCAACTAAAATTGCAAAAAAAATCTAATTTTAATTAAAACAAAATAACCAAATTCTGAATAAAATAGTCAAAAAATTAATATTTTCTTAAACAAAAATTGAAGAATAAATGAAAAAAATTATTATTTCCCTCAAAAAAATACCCAAAAAAAATTAAAATAACCAAATTTTAAATTAAGAATAAAAAAAAATAATATTTTCGAAAAATAAAATTGAAAAATAATCAAATAAAAAATATCCAAAAAAGATTTTTTTTCAAAGTAAAGTTGAAAAAAAAACAAATTTTCAATAAAATAATCAAAAAAATGAATGTTTTCCAAATAAAAATTGCAAAATAATCAAATATTGAATAAAATAACAATAAAAATTAGTATTTCCCAAAGTAAAATTATAAAAAAAATCAAAATAATCAAGTTCTGAAGTGAATAATTTAAAAAAAAAAGAATTTTTTCTCAAGTGAAAAATAATCAAAACTGAAAAATAATCAAAATTTGAATTAAAATCACAATAATAAAAAAAAATAAACAGAATTTGTGTGAAATAATCAAATTTTGAAGAAAATAATCAAAAAATAATCCGAATTTGTATAAAATAAAACAATTTTTAATGAAGTAATTCAAAAAAGAATCAAATTTTAATCAAATATTCAGAAAAAATTAAAAAAAAAAAATAATCAGAATTTTGTATATTAAATAATCGATTTTTAATCAAATATTCAGAGAAAAAATCAAAAAATAATCAAAATTTTGTACGAAATAAAAAGTTTTTAATCAAATATTCAGAAAAAAATCAAAAAATATACAAAAAATAATCAATTTTAAATCAAATATTCAGAAAATAAATCAAAAAATATACAAAAAATAATCAAATTTTAATTAATTATTCAGAAAATAATCAAAATTTTGTACGAAATAATCAAAATTTCAATTAAAATCACGAAATAATCGAGAAAAAAGATTGAATAATCACAAAGTTAATGGTCTCAACTTACGCGACTGACTTTCCCCTTGGTAAGAATTGACGAACATTGATTGCTCCACATGAGACAACATCGATTCCATCTTCTTGATAAGGTCGCACGGCCGATTTATTGCCGTGCGATCGACGCTCCGCGGAGTCACATTCCCAAAATGGGTTTTGATGTGGTGGAATTGCTTCTTGGATTACGCGGCAATTTCCATTGTAATGTGCGCCCCACAAAAGCCCCGGCAATGAAACTCATTGGGTGAAAAAGCGAGAAAGAGAGAGAAATTGGGCGCGCCGGGGTGCAATTTTCAATTATTTCACACCATTCACAAGATCGCCCCCCAAAAAGAACAGCAGGAGAAGGAAAAAACTCCGCGTGATCACGAGACGCGACAATTCTGGCATGACAACAATCGCCATTCGTCCACATCATTCGCCACGCTCTTGGGTCCACTCTTCAAGGGGGGAGATATTATGGCCGGAAGTGGTGTACAGCTTGAGAGGAAGTGTTTAGAAGTGAAAGTGGCAAAATATATTAGAATATTTGCACTGAAAAAGCTTCCATTTCAACCAAATTGAGTCATTTTTCTCATTATTTAGCTCAAAATTCACTTTTATTGCTTTTTTGAGGTTATGTTTAATTTAAAACAGATTCAATTGTCAAATTTCTCTCCATCTTGCCAAATTTGAGCATTTTTCTGTGGAAAAAACTTCATATTGATTGAGAAAAAGCCTAAAAATCAAACATAACCTCAAAAATATCATCTTAAATTGCAGAAAAATGTCTCTTTTTACTGTAAATAATATTTTCGTTGCAAAAGCTACCTTTTCGACAAATTGAGGCATTTTTTTAATTACTTTGCCTAGAAAAATCAATTTGATCGCTTTGTTTTTAGGTTATGTGATAGAAAAACCCCTAAAATCATCTAATTTGTGTTTAAACTGAAAATTCTTCTCTTTTCTTGGCAAAATTAGACATTTGCGTTCGAAAAAATTTAAGATTAGGTTAGAAAACAACTTAAAAGTCAAACATAACCTCAAAAATATCACTTAAATTACAGAAAAAGTCTCATTGCCTTGATTATTTTCGCAGTTTTTACTTTACAAGAATATTTGCACTGTAAAACCTTCCTTTTCAACCAAAATTGAAGCACTTTCTAAATTATTTTACGTGGAAAAATCTATTTAATCGCTTTTTTTAGGTTATGTGATTGATTTCAAGCAGATTTTGTCACTTTAATAATCCTCAAAGTCATAAAATTGGTGTTAAAGCAGGAATTTGTCTCTTTTCTTTGCCAGAATTGAGCATTTACAGCTTAAAAACAGCTTAAAAAAGTCAAACATAACCTTAAAAATGTCACTTTAACTGAGATAAATGTTAAAATAACAAATTCAACGTCATTTTTTAGTGGAAACATTGTGATATTCGCCATTTTTCCGTCATTTCCAGGCTTAAAGTTTTTTTTTTAAGCATTTTCTGAAGACAAAACTATAAAAAATGCGAATGAACAAATTCTGGGGACATTCAAATCTTTTTCTTCTTCTTGAGGCGGATTAAACCATGGATTAACTTTGTGACAAGTCAGAAATCTAGAGAAGAAATTGAAGAAGTCAAAGAAAAAGCGATGGAAAATGTCTTTTGAGGCATTCAGAAGTGTCAGTGAAGATTCTTGGGTAAGAAACTGTGAAAATGTCAGGAAATTGTGTACAGATTGAAGGCATATTATCTCCCCCTTGGGTCACTTGTTCCACCGACTCCTCCTCTGGCGGGTCTATGGAAAATCTTGTGACTTCCGATCGCACCGAAGGTGGCCATTAAATCTTTTTTCTTTTTCCCCACCATCGCCAAGCGGATGGAAACCACAACGGAATTTTGTCAGTATCACGAAACAAACCACAAACCATCCATTACGCCGCCCGGCGCACATTCTTGCCTATTGACAATGCTAAAAGGTGGATAAACATGCCCCAAAAGATAGTTATTTTGCCCTATTGTACTCATTTCTGTCCGAGCAGATGCTCAGAAAATTGATACATTGATATTAGGAGTTGCGCGGGATTCGCCTATTTCCTCTGTCTCTGACTTCCATGGCAAAAAGACAGTGAAATTCACTCGCCGCAACGGTTTTTCACTACAATGAGAATGCTGGAAAAATATAAGGAAGATTTTTTATAACTTCCTATTTCTTATCACAATCTGTTTATCCTTAAGGGATTTAACAATAAGTAAAAATCAATTGGCGAGTTTTAGTGAGCTTGCTGGGAAATGGTCCAATGACAAAACCCTTATATACACTTAGAATTTACATTAATATGTAAGATTTGAACATAAAAGAACTATAACTCTACTGGGTGACTTATTCTTTCACATGATTGTAGAGAATACAAACATTTTCCACTTCATTTCCTCTCCAGTCGCAACTCGTGAAGCTAATTTAAATTTTTTCTTGTCAAATGATGGACAAGATAATAATTGACAGATTAAATATGAAATGCATAATTACAGCCCATGATTCTCAAGATTTGTTGCGCTTAATTCCGCCAAGTCACCACCACCACACTTGGCTCTGACTTTAATAGTCAATCATAAAACTGTCTTCATTCTTAATTACCCGATCACGTGAGCGCCGCGCACTGAGGATTATCTGCGGATAAATAATGCCAAGCTCAAGACCTCAAGATCATCCACCAAATCGATCGACTGCAATTTGCAAACCATTTAGTCATTTGCATGGCTTTTTTTTGTACATCAGCTCGCGGTGCACAAAAGAAGGGTAGAAGTGCATGCCAAGGGGGAAATAATGTGGCTGAAAAGATGTTCAACGCAGCATTAAGAGAATACTTCTAGTAAAGCTCAGTTTATGCTTTTTTTCCCTCAGGTTTTACAACAGGTTTTACAAGAAAATACTTCATATTGAAAGTGTAATTTTGATATATTCTTCTTACCACTATTTATCCCTTCATATCTTGCAATGTACCTGTCTGATTACTAATCGCCTACAACTCTCTAAGACATACCTAAGGTTGGTAAATGACCAATGATTCGAATTTATGCGTTGATATGAAGTTTTCGGATATCTTTAAGTTAGACTTTTTGTCTCTTTTAAAGTAGTCACATAATCTTCAAAATACATGGAAAGATAAGAAGAACCAATCACAATATCTCCCCCTTGATATGTACACTCTCAAGCATTGCCACTTCTTGGGCATCTCGTCACGAGCCGCCCAAGCAATTTTGACCAATTGTGGCTGAAAGAGGAAATTGTGGTACTTAATCAGCGAGTCGTGATTGCGCTACCGCCATTGTTTTTTGCCACAGTTTTTCCTGCCCTCAGGAGCTTTCCATTGTGGGGCGCGCGCGGACATCGTGTGAAAAATACGGAGGGAAATCACCATGATCAGACGCGAGGATCTAACACTAATCGATTGCTGTATCTTGTGTGCTGCTGGAGAATCTCTTTGGCGAAGGCAATCAGTGGTGAATTGTGCCAAGTCACTGGACACTCTTTAGCCTCTTGCTCTGGAACGATGGACGCGGGCGCAGATAAAAAAGGGGGTATCACAATATTTAGTCGATGGATCAGCAACAAAGCATCGATCGTAATGATCACCCAGTCGCTCATTGACGCTCACCAAAGTGCGCGCGGTTTGATGATTGAGTGAGAAGAAGCGCGCGGGATTCAAATGATTGCGCGGCACAAATCCAATCAAAATGCTGCGCAACAGAAGAAGAGGAAGAAGAAAAGCCTCTCTTCACACACTCTCTTTGGGTTATAAGATAAATGAGGAACAATGAGAGGTTCTGCGCGCGCTGAAGGAGCACAAATCGTGAAGAAGATGATGGATTGACGGGTGTGTTGCTACACATTTCCAACATCTGTGTAATTTGTATTTGAAAACACCCTCAAAGGGTCGCCCTCTTATCGATCATCATCATCGAACCACGGGTAAATGATTCATTCAACAAAAGACCCATCTTCACGGGCTCTTTTATTTATTTGCTCGCGCGGGCATTAATTTCTTCAAACACTCTCTCTCAAGAGGTTGCGCTCAAGAGATCAAGTGTGGATCAAAAGTTGAAGGCTTAACCACAATTTATTTCTTTATTGGGATATTTTTGGAGAGCATCGATTGATTGAGAAATGATTTTATAGGATATTTTGTACGGCAACAAAATGGAAAGATTTCCGATATGTTTTTAAGCAATTAGAAAATATCTAAATTTTTATTCTAATTTTACTCTTCAGTTAACACTAGACACACTTCAAGTGAGTAAATTCATTATAACTATAGCGTAATGATTTCAATGTTTTTTATGATCTAAGATCTCAACTTTTGAGTAAAAAATGATCAACATTTGATTAGGGGTAAACGGGACAGTTTCAGATTGGGGCAGTTTCAGATTTCTTAATTTTCTCAGAGATTTTCACATGAATAAATTCTTCGTTTTCACACAATGTTTTGTAGTCCTTAAGGACTACAATTGATGAAAATTTGCACAGGATTTACCATTACTGTTTAGATAAAATAAGTGAAAATTGAAAATCACTCACAAACTAGAATTTTGCTGCTAAATTGACACCTTTAAACGACTTCTTAGTTGAAAAGTGAGAAAATACACGCGAAAATCACTGATTTTAGAGCAGAAAGTTGCCACTGCTGACGCATGGTGGCGTTGCAATGCAGGAAAAATGACAGGCAACTTGCTTCTCGCTCGGAAATTTTGACATTTCGTGCAAAAGTGTCCAGAAAAGTAGCGAAAATAGTACTTTAAAGGTGATTTTTAGGGAATTAAACAGTTTTAGTGTGTAGAATAGAAACCAAAGTGATCATTTGCCCGCGATTCAACAATTCCACGAAGGAATTTATGGTAAATATAAGTGAAAATCTAGAACTGCCCCACAGTGGGGCAGCGTTGAAATATTTACAACATCTTTTCAATCTCCTTTAGAGGAAAAACGATCAGTTTTAATGCTCAATGAAAGGCATTTTCTGAAGCTCAATAGACGAGAGTTTATTTGAGCGTTGTGATTATTTCAATATATTCAGCCAATTTTTCAAGAAAAAATCCTAAAGTTGGAACAGCATTTTGAATCTGAAACTGCCCCACTTACCCCTAATTAGCCTCCCTGATGTCATTTTAGTCGATTTTGCGACATTTGATTTTTTGCGTGATTACAGATAGAGCGAGATTTTGCCCAGCTCAATAGAGTGAGCAAAAAATTGTCCGTTCCGTTTCAAAATTTCATTAAAAAAAAAAACCGGCTGATCGACCATTAATTTTCACCTCATGCGCCAATAATTCACGGATGGAATTATTATTATTGGATTTTCCGCTCGAATTTTCTCCCCGCGATCGGGCTCACATTGGGGGGGGGCCGTCCAAAAGAAGAGTAGCGGCGGCGGCGGCGGCGGCGAAGAGTGTGAGGCACTCAAAGAGCTCCCAATTTTCCCCTATTAACACCGCCGCGCAATTCAATTTGAGCCGCGCGCGAATGTTTGTCGACACAAATTCAATTTTTTCCGTTTCGGAAGATGAAGCAGAAAAAGAAAAGGAGGGAGAAAAAAAAAGCAGAAGTGAAGCACGCTCAAGAAGTGGCCTCCACGTGAAATCGCCCTGGTAATTGTGATAATTTTCCCCCATGATTGCGTGCCACGAACAATTTTTAATTTGATGTCCATAATTGATCACAATAGTTACTACATATATCGCGTTTCTAGTGTTTTTTTTTCTTTTCTACCGAAGGAGAGAAAAAAAGACCCAACAATCTGAATATCTCAGTGGGATTTCACTCACCTGAAGAAGGTTTTATTACAGTTTGTAATAAGCACGAATTTACCAATACAAATTACACATTTTACATTGATTAGAGAGAATTCAATTTTGAAAAATAATAATGTACAGATAAATATTAATAATATCGATTTGAAATTATTCATTTGCTAGCTTGAAATTGAAGAAAAATGCAATTAACATTTGGATTATTGGACTTTCAGCTGTGATTTGTTCATTAAAATGGGAAATCAGGTTCATAAACAGCGCATTATTGTGGACTAAGACACCAATTGTGGTCACTTCCTCAATTTCTACAAAGGAATTACGAAGAAATCACAAGGGGGAGATAATACAGTCCAGAAGTGTTGTACAAATTCTGCAGACGTACTTAAGAAGTGGAAGTATTGAAAAACCTTCAATATTTCTTATCAAATCATTCAGATTCTTTGAATTTCTTTCGATTTTCATGAAGAAACAAACGTTAGAATCTTTTTTTCTAGGTTATGTAAAGAATCAAGAACAGATTTAATCAATAATTAGCATTCTAGCATATAAATTCTGCAAATGCTGGTCAGAATTAAGCATTTTCAAGCAATTGACAGCGCTTTTTGATCTTTTGATGCAATGATTGTGCTAGGATCGAACATAACCTGAAAAACAGTCATATTTACTTGAAAAATACTAATTTAGAAAGCTTTTTGGACAATTATGACTCTGAAAAAGCAGTTTAAGGTTCTTTAGCAGATCTAGAATGTTTCAAAACTGAGTTTTTACAAATCTCTTAGTGACATTTTGAGGTTATGTTGGGAAAAGGTACATAAAAAAGCGGTTTTAAGTGAATTTTTGCACTAATATCAAATCGAAACCAAATACAACATAATCTTCCCTTTGAATTGAACTTCTTTGTTGCCAAGAAACACTGCAAATTGTGTTAAGATCGTACATAACCTCAAAAATAGTCATTTGGTCAGTTTTCTGGACAATTTTCACTGTGAATCATTAGTTTTGAGTTCATTGGCAGATCAAAAGAGACGATTTTATGCTTCAAAAAGCTTCCAGACTATGTCTTTAAGAGATCTCTGAGTGATGTTTTGAGGTTATGGTCGAAAAAGACACCCAAAAAAGAGTTTTCTATTTTTAACTCTAAATCAGCACTAATCAGATGATTTGGTTGTCTATAAAACTTCTAAAGGGAATTTTTGAAGATTTCTGGGTCTTATTTTTGAGGTTATGGTTGGAAAAGATGTCCAAAATAGCGTTTTTTACTGAAATTCTTGCAGAAATATCGAATGAAAACTTAAGAAATTCGATTAAATTTGGGAATTTGAAGTGTCAGGCAAATTTTGAAGTGTTTGGAAGTAATGTAACAGTTTGATGACATATTATCTCCCCCTTGAAGAAATCATAGACATTTCTTGCACTTTGAGAGTGCGTAAAAATATCTCTCTTTCTCATCTTGCAATAGTGAATTAGTTTTTGACATCATTTTTACATTCATTCTTACCTTTTTCTGACATTCCTTGAACAGATTTTTCTGTAAATCTACCTTACGACCAAATACGAACCCTCAGACGACCTAGTTACGACCTCATCACTACAGTTTTTAGTGGTTATTTGTAGAAATCTCATTCAAAACACTTTAAGTTTGTCTTTTCTCACCATCACCTTTCAAAATTGATAAGAATTTTTTGATAATATTATTCAAAAACTTTGCAAAATGAAAACTGAAACGTAATCTATGGTCAGAATTTGGTAATAATCATGAAACTTGACAACTTCCAGCAAATAAAGCTACGAAGAGCTCTTAAAATAAAGCAATTACATGCTTTAAGAGAGATATTATAGTAAACAAAATGAACTCCCCTTAAAATTCACCCTTAATTCTGTTCAAGGTGTCTGCACAAATGCAACTGCGCCGTCTGTGTCGTCCATCAATCGTATTTTGAGGAATAGAGCCGCTGAGAGAGCAGCGGCTGAATTTGCCAGAGCCGCCGGCTATGGCTTGTACCCGCCGCATCCCTATGGAGGCTTTGCCTGGCCTCCGACGCACCTCTGGCCGCCCAATGCGGCCAATCTCAGTGGAATAACCCCGCCCGGCTCCACCTCAAGCACTGCAGTGTCCCCTGGATCGTCCCACGACACCGCCGGCTCTCCAGACGGCAGTCGCCTCATAGGTGAGTTTGTGAGGTTATGTGCGCCCTTCGATGCACTCTCACGCGACCTTTCAAATGCCTCCTTTTCCGCAGATGTCGAGGGCGAGGACTCGGGCAGCTTGGATGGGGAGCAACCCAAGTTCCGACGCAACCGCACCACCTTCAGTCCAGAACAGTTGGAGGAGCTGGAGAAGGAGTTCGACAAGTCGCACTATCCGTGCGTGAGCACGCGCGAACGCCTCGCCTCGCGCACTTCCCTGAGCGAGGCGCGTGTTCAGGTGAGTTGTCTTGTGACCGTTGCATGTGTGTCCACTCCGTGAGTGGGGGTGGCTTCTGGCCGTGTCGACTAATTTCTTCATTAAAACACTAGGTTTGGTTTTCCAACAGACGAGCGAAGTGGCGGCGCCACCAGCGCATGAATATCCTCAAACAGCAGTCCTCACCCACGCCCCAAAGAGCCACCCCAAGCAACAACAGCAGCAGCAGCAATTTCACCCCTACCGCGACGCCCGCCAGGGAAGTCGCCACCTCCCCGGCGGCGGCGGCAGCGGTCTCAGCGGCCGTGGTAGCGGCGACAAGCTTAGTCACAGCATCCACGCCATTATTAATGGGCGGCGAACATAGCGCCTTTCGCTCACTTGTGCCCTCGTCCGCGGCGGCATTGCTCGCCGCCTCGGCGTCACTCGGCCTGCGGCCACCCTACGCCGGCCTGCGCGCCGCCGCAGAATCCTCCATCTCCTCCTCCGACGAGGAGATCAACGTGCACGATGACGATTCCAATGGCTCAGCGGCCAAGAGCCGCTCCACGCCGCTTCAGCTCACGACGCACGACAGGCCAAACTAGGCCGGCGCAGAGCACTCGCAATTCTTCAGAAAACTTATAATAATCGAGTAATATCGGCTAATAATGCCCACTAATTGGTCTTTGGAAAATATCTAATTGATGGCAATGAGTGTGGAGATAATTAGACGCAATTGTGGAAGTATTTTTTTAGACCAACTGTGAAGCTGCCATTTGCTGGGAAAGAAGGGCGCCGCGGTTGCTAAATTATTCACGATTCAGGTCGGTTAAAAACAATGTGTCCCTGACAAGATGGTGAATTTTGCTGTTTCATTGAGCTTTTCAATGTCTTATGACACAGTGGAGGACATGCAGTGACGTTGTCACACGACATTCCGATGGATTTTCATAAGATGTCGATCAAAATTTCGATAATTCGCAATTTCGAGTGTTTTTTTTACACCGATTTCAATTATAGCAACTCAATTTTTCTCTTTTAGTGAATTCCATTCTGTCTTATGACACATCTATATCAAAACATTAATATGTCCTACGACATTCCGATGGATTTTCATAAGACAGTCGTTCAGAATTTCTCAAATTTTCCTTTTCCAGTGTTCTAAGGAACTGAATTAAATCATTTTAGACTCCATTGAAAAGCTCTGTGAAAACACTTCAACTCTTCTGAACACTAGAAATTCATTTGATCATTGGTAATGGCTCTTTTTGGGGATACTCAAAGCATTGTTTTCTCCGTGGACAAATCGACCTGATGATGTGGAGAGTGCGTCTGATTTGATGAGGCGGAGCTCCGTGGCCCCAAAAAAAGGGTGAGAACCAATAATTTTCTGAGGTCGGAAAATGTGTGACATTTTCCCTCCTCAATTGCCCAACTAGAGCAACTTGTATTAATTACCACGAAGAAGAGAGACACGCAATTCGAGTGTGTGATGCCCATTAAATTTTCAATCAATTATCGATCCCTTTTCACACTCTCAATGTGTGTGCGAATGGAGTGTTTTTTTATCGTTTGTTGTTGGAGATGAAGACGAAGAAGATGATGAAAAAAAGCATAGAAGAATAACACACAAGACTGTTTTCGTTCCCCCCCTTTTCTTTATATATCTTTTTTTCTTAATTTAAACTTATAGATTAATTATTCCCCCGAATACTTACCCAGTAAAAACAGTCCTATAGGAATCGTGCGGGATTCCGCTGTTTTCCCCAGCGGAATCTTCCACCAAAAATCCACTGTTCGCGGAAAAAATACGCGGAATTCCGCAATATTTTCACCGGATGATTCCGCTATTTATTATTATGTCCCGGAGGTTTTGGGTCTTGGAATTTCTCGGTAGAATTTTAGAGGAAAATCGCGTTTAAATTCCAGCAGGGACAGTGGCGGAATTTTAGCGGATTTCCTTGCCGGAATCACGCAAGATGATCCGTTGAAATTCCAGCAATTGGCCAAAAGGACCTTAAATGGCGGATTTGTGCTGGATTTTCCTGCAGGAATCCTGCAAGAATCTACCATCTTGAAAGACAATCTCGGAAAAATAGGCAGTTCAGTCATTGCGGAATGCTCTGCAAGATTCCACCAAGAATCCACAAGGCAAATTCCCCCCACTTGAATAGTGGAAAAACGCCGGAAGCCTCCCGCAAGATTCCTCTGCTTTTTCGCTATTTGAGATGAGAACGGCGGAAACGCAGCAAAAGTGTCCTCCAGGATTTCTACCACGAATCCTTAAGGTCAAATCCTTCTTCCTGAGTGGCGGAGATGCCGATTGCACCGGGACGAAAAATTTTCAGGACGCGCTTCTGCCGCGTTTCCGCCGTTCTCTTCCCAAATTGTGGAAAAGTGGAGGATTCTTGCGGGAGAATTCCACCGCAATTCCGGTATTTGAGAAAGAAGATACCGGAATTGCGGTGGAATTCTCTCGCAAGATTCCAGCAATAATCCGTCATGGCAAATCTTTCGTCCCGGCGCTTCCAGTGTCTCAGCCACTCAGGGTGAGGGAATTTGCCTGCAGGATTCGTGGTGAAATCTTGCAGGAGGCTTCCGGCATTTGTACGGCCTTTAAAGTGAAGGAATTTGAATTCAGGATTCCCGCAGGAATCTTGCAAGATTCGTCCACCGTTTGTCCCCCGTTTAGTGATAAGGGATTTGGCTTTAAGGATTCTTAGAGGAATCCCGCAGTGTGAACTCCGTCATATTCACATGGTGGATTTCACGATGGATTTTCCTGCAGGAATCCTACAGGGCTCTGGAGCCAACATGATGGAAAAATCGGTGGAAAAACGTCGGATAGCGGATTGATTTTTACTGGGTTCTTGTCGTTCCTTTTCGACGTGGAGACAAACATCTTTAGCAAATATATGTTGTGTGTGTGTGTTTGCGCAATTTTGATGGAAATTTAAGAAGTTATTTCTGGCAATGTAAATAAGATGAGGAAAAATACTATATATGTTATTTAATTAGTTGAGAATTGCGCACGTAAATGGATTGATCAATTAAAGAGTGGAGATGTGAGATAAAAGATTTTTTTGGCAGTTGTTATAAAATTGAAAAGGAAGCTGAGAATTGTAGAATAATTTAAAGAGAGAAGAAGAAAAAAATCTAATTATATATATATATATAAAATAAATTAAGGAGAATTCTTGTATTTAGCGCCCTTCTCAATCTCTCTCTCTCTCTCTCTCTCTCTATCCCAATATTCCTATTCTATTTCGAATGACAAGACAACAGAATAAATTTAAGAAAAAAAAACTATTAAATGGTTTCAACATATCGACGGGTGCCTCGAAAACTATGAAAAGCCAAAATTGCACAATTTTTCAGCAGAGCAAGTTCAAAATTAAGCGCTAATTGAAGCTGCAAAATTTGCGAAATTTATCTTAAAAAACCCACAAAATGCCTTCAAATTGTCTGTTAAAGAGCGCAATATTGCTCTGTATTTTTTATTTTGTAAATATTTTCGTTGATTTTATTGATATTTATTGGAAATTTTTTGACTAAAATATGGCAAAATTAATTTGTATAAAATAATTAATTTTTAATGAAATAATCAGGAAATAATAAAGAAGTATTCAAAAAAATAATCAAATTTTAATGAAATATTGAGAAAATAATCAAAATTTGAGTAAAAATCACGAAATAATCGAGAAAAAAGATGGAATAATTACAAAGTTAATGGTCTCAACTTGGGTTTTTTTTTAAGAAAAATCGTATTTCTTTATTTTTTGCCGATCTGAACCCAATGGAATATTTTTACCCGTGATAAGAAGACATTAAGATCAATCCAAAATAAAATATATAATACGTCAACTATCAAAAAAAAAACGACTTTTAATAGTCTTCGATTCACCCGTCGATATATAGTAGATGGAATTCTATCCAATGGAAGGACAGAAGACAACGCAAGAATTCAACAACAAAAAAAATCGATTTAGAGAATATAAATTAAAAATGATTGTACATTGAATTTACATTAAATAATTAATTAAGTGAATAAAATGCAATGAAACCATTAGCATCTTGACTTCTTCTATATCTTCTCTTCGCTCTCTCTCTCTGTTCCTTTGCCTCATTTTGTCTTCTTCTTCATGTGTCCGCGCACGATGGGGAAGATGGACAAAGAGAGGTGAGAAGAGACACAGTCAAATTGAGGCGAGAATCACACAAGAGATGACCACTAATTAATAAAACAGGTGATATTTATGTGAATTTAAGCATCAAATAAAATCGATTCCACTCCCATTTTCCTCGATTACGCTCGATTTCTGTTCGCAAAATTCCACACACTCTCAATGTGATGTCTTTGCTGACCATTTTATTTGTGATTTAACCTGAATTGCGTGGGCTTCAGCCGCCAGACGTCTTGGCAATTTTACTATATGCTTCTTTCACCCCACACTGATGGACAATTTCATCGTGACCAAAACACTGGATCTAAGTCAAGGGATAGATAAATATGCCTTAAATCTGTACACCACTTTTAACACTTCCAGCACTTGAAATTTTTAGCCTGCTTTCACACTAATTTATTGAATTTCTATTAATTTCTCAAATTTCAATCCGATATTTCTGGTAAAAATCATTGTTAAAAAGGTTTTTTCGATATTTTTTCAGATTTTAACCTAAAAATTCCACTAAGATAAATTAAAAGACTGTATTTTGAAGGTCTCAAGAACACAAAATCATCTGCTATGATTTGCGGAAACACTCAAGGGGGAGATAAAATGCTTTAAACACTTCCGAATTTGCCCGACACTTTTAGAAAAATTAAATTTGTTGTTTGTTTCTACATTGATTCCCAGATTAAATTGAATCTATTGAGGTTTCATTCGATATTTCTGTGAAAATCGACTGAAAACAGCTGTTTTTGGACATCTTTTCTAATCATAACCTCAAAATATGACTAAGAAATCTTCAAAAACAGTGTTTGAAAGCTTTCTGGATTACAAATCATCTCAAAATTGCTAATTAACAGTCAAAATGGTCCAAAAAGCTTTCTAAATTAGCATTTTTCAAGTCAAAATGACAATTTTTGAGGTTATGTACGATCGAAAATAATCAAAAAATTGATTATATTCCCAAGTAAGATTGAAAAAAATCTAAAAATCAAATTATGAATTAAATAATTTAGAAAATGATTTTTTCCCAAATAAGATTAAAAATATACCTAATCAAATTTTGAATTAAAAATAATAAAAAAAAAATTATTTTCTTCTAAGTTTTTCTCAAGTATAATTTAAAAATAATCAAATTTTTAATAGGATAATAAAAAAAATTATTATTTTCCCAAGTAAAATTAAAAATTAATTAAATTTTTAATAAAAAATTATTTTTTTCAAGTAAGATTCCAAAAAAGATTAAAAAAAAATTCGGAATAATATTCAATAAAAAAGATTATTTTCAAGCAGTGAATCAGAATATTCCGAATATATACAATTTTATTCAATTATATTCACATTTTGATTAAATATCCAGAAAAAATCGAAAAATAATCCAAATTTGTATAAAATAATTGATTTTTAATCAAATATTCAGGAAAAAAATGAAATTT